CCCGCTGCTGCAAACATTAAACTCGATGCGGGATTTATCATTTCGGTTTTCTCGTGCCAGCGTGAGATCCCATTTCGGGGCTAAATGAAATAAAATCGAATTAAAATTGTTGTCCTACAATGTAAACACCATTTATTTCGCTTCTGCCGAAATGAAATTCAGTTTTACCCGAAATGAATTTTTTATCGGCCTCAACTAATCTAGAGAGAAATATTGAGGCAAAATACATTCATGCTAGCTTTAGTTTCGTTTTGGGCTTTGCTTAACAGCAGTGTAGATATCCCAGTAAAGTATCGAGGTAGTTATATCTTCCCATGAGAGAACTTGAATTAAAGAAAAAAGGTTGATTGAATGGTGTTTCACAAGGCCTCTTTGTAGGCCCAATGCTGTTCATTATGTATGCCAATTTCATGGTCAGATGTGATGGTACAGCACCTCTTTCGTATGAATTAAATCTAGCGATCAAATCAACTTAGGTTTGCATATCTTTTGATGAAAATTTCATTAAGCTAATATAGGAATTGATATAAAGACAGACCGTTAGGCTCAAATGACATCTGAAGCTAGCTTAACATCTGTTGCAGGTGTAGACCAATCAACCCTTTTTAAAATCCAGGAAAATCTGTATTAATTGAAAAAAATCTGTCCGAATGATTGAGTCTCACCCTTGAGAAAAATTATTTTTTGGAATCCGTCGCGTTTTTCTCGAGGGCTTTTTAAACTCCATGAATATGATAAAAACATGCTTTGAAATTCCACGCTGCAGAAACGATAACTGTAGGGGTACGCATGATCATTTCAGATTCGAGTTTCCCATCGTTAAAACAAAGACACGAATTTGAGATTTTCTTCCACCTTGCAAAGCCCTAACAGCAAGACCCTAATCACAGGGAGATACTTTCTCAAAGAAAAATTATCTCTGATCTTAAGCAACACCACAATAACCTACACCTTGTTGAGAACCTAAGAAAAAAACCACTTTTTGTTCATGCTGTTAGGTTAACCAAACCATCATCTTGAAAATTTTCACTGTTGGAGTAGCTATATTTCTAAATCTATTCCTTAAACCTTATGCCTACATTTACATCTAAGTACGCATATGCAAAGTGTACTTACTTCGTACACTTGCTGCAACTATGAGTTTCGCGACGGTTCTACGCTGCAACTACTAGTTTCGCGAAGGTTCTACGCTGCAACTACGAGTTTCGCGAAGGTTCTACGCTGCAACTACGAGTTTCGCGACGGTTCTACGCTGCAACTACGAGTTTTGCGACGGTTCTACGCTGCAACTACGAGTTTCGTGACGGTTCTACGCTGCAAGTACGAGTTTTGCGAAGGTTCTACGCTGCAACTACGAGTTTCGCGACGGTTCTACGCTGCAACTACGAGTTTTACCCTTAAGGAACCATCAAGAAACTGTTGAGCAAGGCATTGAACACCATAAAACTGTCATTAGATTTACTAAAAACCTGCCATAAGAGAAAAATCACACATCTCCTAATAGCAAAACACATCCAGAAAGCTTTTATTCTATATATAAAATTAAATAAACAAATAAACACAGCCCTAGTATCAGTGCTATTAAAAGTTCAGTAAATCACCAAGCTCTCTTCAACTTTGAGTCTGTGTCCTTGCAAACAATAGCTCAAAAAATAACTTCTTTAGATTCAAAAAGGGCAACTGGACCTGATGGTATACCATCGAAAGTTATCAAACAATCAATGTAACTGTAAGAACTTACTGAATCGTTTCAAATTCTTTTCAACCATTATTTTAAAATTAGTTAGTCTCCCAATACAATGAAACAAGCAAATGTATTAACGTTATTACAAATTTACCTAAAGGAGAGGACTCAAAGAGTGAAAATTAACTCTTAAACAAGCAAGTTGAGAAATATTACAAAAAGAGCTCCACAAGGATCAGTTCTCGGCCCCCTGCTATTCAACATTTTTCTAAGAATTACTTTCTATTTCATGATTACATATGCCAATTCAATATTATAAGAAGTTAACAACGTTGATGAAATAACCTATAAATTACAAATAGAAGTAGCATCTCTAAATAAACGGTTTAAGGATAATTTATCGTTACTAAATGAAGACAAAGGTAACTTTATGATCTTTGTACATAAAGAAACTAGAACTGGAAGAGCAAATGTTAAAACAGGAAATACCACAATTGAAAAGATTAGTAGTACATAAACCGCAATGCGACGAGAATGAACGACAACAAACACACATAAATTAGTCGTGGCTATTATTTCGTCCCGGCATACGGGCTTCATCAAAGCGAAAGAGTAACTTGGAGTGACTTTAGACAGCAAACTGAACTTTGAAGAACACATAAAAAACCTTTGTGAGGGAGCAAGTAAAAGATAAACTCCCTGACCAGATACGCCCCTATGAATGAATATAAAAGAGCACTACTGATTAAGACTTTTATGTTAAGATTTTTTAAATACTGTCCTTTTTCATGGATGCATTGAAGCCAAAAGTCTTCCAAACATATTCAAAAAAGGGGAATGAGAGTGGTTTACTGTGATTTTGAACCAATTCTCTCAAAAACAAACAATGTTAGGATACATCAAAAGAACCTCAAACTACTAGCAATAGAAATATGCAAAACAGTAAATAACATAAATCCAGTATTTATGAAAGAGATATTTCAGTTGAATGAACTTGCATATAATTTACGAAATCAATCGTTTATATAAAAAAACCGAACAATGTTGCTTATAGGCTAGATACAATATCCTATAGATGTAATGAATTGTGGAATTCTATACCATTTGACATTCGGTCGATATGTAATTAATCTCTTTATTTACAGTTGGTTTGAGCGATAGTTAATATACATAGATAATTATGTAAAACTAATTAATACCAACTATACATAAAAAAGTACAATAATAATTTATCTATTTACATATTTTGCAGCTACATTTGTCTCCATTCCAGGCTTCCAGGCATGTATGTCTTTTTTAAATTTGGAATTTTATTGCTAAATGTTGATTTAATTAGCTGTTTATTGGCTATTACTGTGTAAACCAACATTAAGTAAAATGATATAAAAAAAGACAGAAAGATATACAGCAATTTTCATTTAAGTCTAGAAAAATTTTTTTTACAAGACAACGCCAATTTCTAATTAACCCTGTGCAATCTGAAATTGCTTTCTAACAACGATTCATTAACGAAGATGATAAATGACAGCTACATTGTATACAACCTATATCGTTCCGTTGCAAAAATAAGTAACTAATTTTTTTGGTTCACTATTCAATAAACCCGGCAATCTTATAGCTGTAATCAGTACTTAAGTAATCAACGTTCCTCATCGGCTTTTATTTAGCGCCGCGGTATATAGAATCTTAAAAAGAAGCATTGCAAAGGGCTAGCAATAAACCTTATATATATATTGTGGTTTTCCTAAGGCGATTCTAATCATTATTGCTATTTTGCGACTAATAAATATAAGCTAGCGAAGGACATGTACCATGATTACCTATTAATCAAGTTACGATAGCGCAGCAAATCAACAAAGATATGCAAGACCCTAACTCGATAAGACCCATTCTTGACCCGTGTATTCCGAGAATCTAACTTTCATCAACGTCATGTCAGCTGTTGTCAACTCGTGGTGTGTTAAAAAACACCGAACTTTTGGGGCTTGAGAGAATGCAATACTTTTTTGGAGATTATCGCGGCTTTTCTGTTTCTTCTTTCCGCTTCACTATTTATTTGATAATGAAAACAAGAAACCGGAAGATCGAATTTTATAGAAAGATACATCATTTGTTTAGTATTGTAATTAAAGGGTCTTTGTTTGTTTTTTTTAGAGCTGCAATTATAATTAGCATTTAATCTATCTGCTTTCTGTGATTTCTATTCCCCCCCTCCCCCCCTGAAAGTAGTTCCGATGAACCGACGGGGCAACAAGAATTAAAGGAATTGAATGAATGAATGAATGAAAAAAATTATCTCTCACCCGGAATTTCTGAAATGTTTACCTCTTGGTCACAAACCTCACTCGGACCCGTGTTAGTTCATGGTTTCTGTATAGATACACATTTTGAATGAAAGGACAAAATCCGTTATGTCCAGGCTTCTAAATACCGGCTTCTAAATTTTAAAACCGGTTCAATTGCACCTTTATTTTTCTACCTTTAGTCGGACTGCTAAGGAATATAACCGTTTTAGCTCTTGTTTTCTGCAAATTTTAAGAAATTAGCTGGTGATGTAATTTATTTCATTGAATTCTCCTGAAGTTGGCATTTTTGTAATTATTGGCGGTGATTAAACTCAGTTCCTTCAATATCGGAAAAATGAAACGACTAAGTGTGAGAAATCTTTGCCTCTGCCGAGCTCTGAGAAGCTAAAGGTACTGCCCATTTCTGTGTTGTATTTTTATTCAAAGAGGTGATTTGAGAGTACAAAGTATGAAATATACATCAATTCAGGTTTATCGACCACGGGTGCATTTTTATGAGCAACGGGTCTATTTCATGAGCACCCGGTCCATCTCAAATAATATAGGTTGGTTTAGATGATTTGAGAATACGTAAGCATAAAAAACCGGTTCAATTGTCTATTAATCAATTCAGGTTTTAATCGTGGGTGCATTTTTATGAGCACCGGGTCTATTTCATGAACACCCGGTCCATCTCAAACGACACAGGTTGGTTTAGATGTTTTGAAGGTACATAAAAATTTCATGGCCAACAACCTAAGATTATTCATTATTATATTGTGACATACAGTCTTTGTGAGAATCACTACTATTCTACTTAAGCTGTGTGGCAGCAACATTGTTTTCATCCAAACACAGCAAAGAAGCTGAACTGAATATTTAATGCCACGCAGGGGGATCTGTCTTTATAAAGTGATATGATAAGCTTTTGGTCATCTGCTAACGCTGCACTTCACTCAAGGCGTATATCATTTTGTTCAGAAACGTGTCTTCAGTACAGACATATGATAGTCCATTTTGCTTTTTTTCAGAGGTACTGATTCAATGTATATAAAGTCAACTACTTTATTCATTTTGCGAAGAATTCGGAGAAGATTTGCTCAAGAGACCCGTTAATGCTTGGTTCCAAAATTCAGGTAAGATGTTCTTATAAAACATTTGAGAATGTTCAGTTTTCTGTTAAACGTAAAATACTATTTTCATTTCAAAGCTAACCAAGATTTAATACTAGATGCTGAAAGAATACGATGCCTTGGACGCGTTAAAGTATTTTTGAGACTAAGCCTTCAATTATTGTACTTTCTTCAAACCTGCGTTTTTCTGATTTCTAATATGTGAACCAACAGCTGAACGCTCTTATCAGATTAACTGTCCTATTATACTGTATTTGAGAAATTCTTTGATGATCGATCTTCTGTAGATGGTCTGCTTTTTCATATGCTAATCATTATATTCAAATACTGATCATTCAAATGCTATATAATTTCAAAATATTCCACGCTGCCTGTGGCATCGTCTGGTGAATTTGTATATGTTTTTTAAAAAATGTTTAGGTGATTATAAAAAAGAAAAAAATGCTAATGAAATCTAGGGCTTTGAGGAAGCTTCTATGTCAAAAACATAACTAGTTTGACTTTTTCATTATTTTAAAATGGTAAATCAATGCTCTAGGATTGATGGATTCATTAGAATGCCAGGTTTTGTTGTTCAGTATTTCGTTCTGCCTTGTGTTTTTCATTCGCTAATTAGCAACATATAATGCTTTTCCAAAGTTGCGTTGATGAAATTTCTAACATTTTCATAAAGTTATTGTTGTTAGTACAAAAATATTAATCTAACATAGGTATTCTCACAAAATCTTGGATGTTGCAAACCTACATAAGAAAAGATTTTTATTGTATTCTCTATTGTCACATTAAACCAGCTTTCATAGCAAGTATACCACACTTTAAAACGCCGAACTTTTCAAATCATCAAAACATAACACAAAAATTCATACTGTTATTCACCGCTTTAACATTTTGCGAGGACCTGGGTCATTAAAAGTTCAGACAGTTGCCTGTTAATCGCATTAAGCGTGAAACTCAGAGTTGCAACTTAGAACTATCGTGTTCTATACACCGAAGTTGCCTGATAATCGCATTAAGCGTGAAACTCAGAGTTGCAACTTAGAACTATCGTGTTCTATACACCGAAGTTGCCTGATAATCGAATTAAGCATGAAACTCAGAGTTGCAACTTAGAACCATCGTGTTCTTTACACCGAAGTTGCCTGATAATCGCATTAAGCGTGAAACTCAGAGTTGCAACTAAGAACCATCGTGTTCTATACACCGAAGTTGCCTGATTATCGCATTAAGCGTGAAACTCAGAGTTGCAACTTAGAACCATCGTGTTCTATACACCGAAGTTGCCTGATAATCGCATTAAGCGTGAAACTCAGAGTTGCAACTTAGAAACATCGTGTTCTATACACCGAAGTTGCCTGATAATCGCATTAAGCATGAAACTCAGAGTTGCAACTTAGAACCATCGTGTTCTATACACCGAAGTTGCCTGATAATCGAATTAAGCGTGAAACTCAGAGTTGCAACTTAGAAACATCGTGTTCTATACACCGAAGTTGCCTGATAATCGCATTAAGCGTGAAACTCAGAGTTGCAACTTAGAAATATCGTGTTCTATACACCGAAGTTGCCTGATTATCGCATTGAGCGTGAAACTCAGAGTTGCAATTTAGAGCAGAATTTTTCTTTGGACCAGTGAGAACTCTTATACAAGTAGAAAAATGTGCCAGTGTTTTTTTGAAGGATAACTAGTAGTATTTCTTTGGTGTCTAGAGTTTTGCGGCACGAGAAAATTTCATGCAATTGTAACTAAAAGCTGTTATGATCCATCACGACAAAGCCATCTCACATCAGAATTGCATTCCCGCTCGTCCACCTCACATCAGAATTGCATTGCAATTTCAAATTATCATATTTCAACACTAACTGGGACAAATTATTATCTTTTAGCAATATTTACCTTTTTGCAGAGAAAATTTAATGTTTGTTACTAAAATAGGAATAAGTTTTGGCTAAGTAAGAGGATTGATTATATCTATCAAAAAACTTCTTATTTCCTCTTTATGCTTAATTTCATATTTTCATTGCTATAATCAGTCACAATCCAAAGTGTTAAGAAAATTTCCTCGGGCTATTCTTTCAGAGCATGTGGTGGCCATTTGATACGCATATGGCACGCTAGATGTAACTTCAAAGTGTAAAAAGCGGCATGTGATTTCCATATTTACTTCTGTTCACTCCATGCTGTCAATTGACCAAGACGTCGAAACACCTATCTCCCTTGCCTTTTTTATCATTTTTTAACGATCAAGAACACCATGCTAAAGTAATTTGAGTTAAGCATAGACTTAAGTTCAGCAAATGAAATCACGTATAGGAAATGGTTTTGATAATATGATAACACACCGTACTTGAAACAATCTTTTCGTCTTGTGAAAATGTCATTGACATACAAATCACTTCAACTATGATTTGCAAAACTTTTTGATGGATAATGAGAAGAATTTTCCATTCACTCTTCAATTTGCTTTAAATGTATTTTCTGTATTTGACTAACAATGAATCTGTTTCATTTTCTGTATTACTTATTTCACCGCTAATTTTTGTGCAGTCCAAATTTTCTTGACTGACATTTTGGGGAACAGACTAACTACCATTTAAAATTTGAATTGCTTGATAATTTCAAAGAAGATTTCTTTATTCTCTTTTAATCCCTAAAATCTGGCAATCTCTACTTTATTCCCTTCGTGGGTTTATGAAAATAATATCGTGCAGAGGTTATGATTGCATAGTGACAAAACCTGAGGACAGTCAGAAGAAAAATATCGAGAGAAACTTTCTTCTGCAATTCTAGCGTTGTGTATCTCCAAGTCTTTTTGCAATTCATGCTTGCACGCTTTAAAACATTTTTGTTTTTATTTGACCTATCATCAGACGATGAAATCCACAATCTAGTCATTTTGTTACCCAATAGAAGATATAACTGATTGATTCACGAATAATTGGATGGCGTCAATGGTGGGTTGAAATGGGGATGTAAAGGTTTTCTCCCTCGGTGAAAATGCTTCAAAATGTTAATAACAAACAGTTTTAGATAGGATATGTCAACTTATGTAATACGAAGCTTGATGTTATGGCAAATGCAGCTGCCAAATTCAATTCTGATTACCAACAAGGCATTACAAGCACGTTGCCGGTGACCATAACCTAACAAGCTTAGTGCTTGAAACATTAAACAATGATTTTTTTAAAAAAGGTGCGTGGATGACAGTTGATGAAGAGCATTGACATGTGTTTGCACTGCCAGATGCCAGATGTTTTTAAATAAGCTTTAAAACATATGCAAGAGGTTTGCTCATTGCCATCCATTTTTCAGAACTTAAGGCTATGCAATAGACTTATTCTTTATTTCCAACAACCTAAGAAACAGTCAAAGAAATTATACTCATTTTTGACCGCAACTTGAACGGATCGCAACAAATCGTAACCTAGACCGTAAAATGCCTGTTAGCGTAAAGAATTTACTCTTTTGACAGCCTTTTGTTTGTACTCAACCACCTAGCAATTGTTCAAGAGGAAAGGAACTCAACTTTGACAGTAACTTCTTTATACACAACTAAAAGAAGAAAATTCAATAACATACAACTACTGTGCCTATCATGGCGGGAATAGACTCTAGGTCATCGAAGAAATCACCATGAAAGGCACTTACAATTCAAAAATTTACAATATTGTAAGTAAAAAGAAACTACGAAAGGGAAGTCAAGTTTCTGTCTCACATCAGATGTAGAGCAACGATTTCTTTGCATGAATAAAGAAAAGGTCACGATAGCTGTCTGCTCGACGGACTCCAAGGAGTTCTTGCGGCAAAAAATCGATGAAAATGTAGCAAATAAGAAACACGGCAATGCAATGAGAATAAACAACAATAAATACACGAAAATAAATGAAAGCTAATATTTCGCCCTGACATACGGGGTTTCTTCAGAGCAAAAGTAAACGGACTAAGAATAGTACACATTTAAAAGAGGCGATGGTAGTGTCGGATTGGTTGATGTGGAATGGTGCGAATGCAGCGCAGAGGTGGAGGAGGGAAGGATGGCGAATGAGAGAGCGGTGGTGGTGGAATGAAAGGTTGTCTGACATCTAACGATGACAGCAACTTTAACAGACCGTAGCAAAAAGTAATAGCGATAATTGTTGATTTTGAGTCTGAAAGAATTTTGAAATTCATTCGGTTTGGTTTTGTAAGACTCTTCTTGATATAATATGTTGCATAATAAATTTGAATCTGGTAATTTTTTGTATATTCAATTGGGCCCATCTTTGTTGACCATAATACTTTTAGGTTAAATCACAACTTAAATGCTGGTCTCTGAAGCCTTGAGTTCGCAGCATGCATCAATAAAACCATGTTTGCTATCACATCAAATATTTATCTAGAAATCATAACAATAGAACCATACAAAGCCTGAAATAAAATTCATCAAAAATATTTTGCATAAATTTGCATGATTATGACGTCGAGAGTGGAAATAAGAGTAAACCGTGTGTATCTTTGTTAAAGGAAAAAAGAAGTCGCAAAGCTAGGAGATCATGAAACTTTCTAGAAACATTAAGCAAATACACTCTCTTTTTAATAAGAACCAGAAAATTCAAGTTCAGGCTCACTGTTTTCAATTTTTTCGAAAAAATGCGGCTGGATTGTTCTTAATTTCTTCTTAAATTAATAGGGTATAAGCAGTGCAATTGCTAGCATTTTCAATCTAGGGATTTGTTCAGGCCTCATTTGCTAACAAAGTACATAAAAAGTGAGACAACCTTCATTTGCCGATATGTTTGAATATTCACCGAAAAAACAACCATTCATGGCTAAAAATCCTCGTTTTTGAGATAAAACGTTATTCAAAATTGCATTTTGCAGAAGATCGGCCTCAGCTTGTTTTTAATTTATTTTTAACTTTTGACCAAGTTAGAGGCTCGTGTTCTTATAAAATTGTTCTTATAAAAAAAGAATGTAGAGCAATTCCTTTAGTTTCATTGCTGCTGGATGACACATAAAGAGTCAA